CTAACTTAGGGACGGCTAACGCAGATAGCCCTCGTGTAGCTTTTCGCGAAATTCAAAAACAAACAAACAAACAATTCTCTGCCTAATGACTATAACAACGAAATTGTTCAAACAGCTGTTAGTACAAATAGCTTTTCTTTACTGATTTTCTAGCAGATTTTTTTTTTTTTTGGTGAATAGTTAATATTAAAGTATTATCAAATCAAGTTACATATTTAGATCACGACTAAAAAAAAGCGTTTAGTGATTGCACCTGAGAAGGAATTAAACATTGGAAATATGTTCTTATGTTTTAGAGGGTAAAATGTGGTATATTATAATGGTTTTTGAATAGACAATTCCTTACGTAATGTGACAACCACAGCTAATATTAGCTCATGCTAGAACGAAATGCATCAGAAATGCGCTACTAGAGAAAAGTTATTACTTTTGGAAAGTGTATGTAACAGGTCTATCAGTCGTAAAATATTCATACTCTTAGATCATAAATATGTTTTCATATCGAAGATTTAGAATTTTTAAGACGAAAGGAAATAGATACGGATCAACTTGGGACATCAGGATCATCCAGAAAGAGACCTGAACAAATTGCACCCCAGCTATGGGAAGAAATATATGGTATCTTGCAACAAGTAAGAATTCACAAACCCAAATGTCGCGGGTTCAAATCCCCGTTATACCAAAAGTGCTCGCCCTTTCAGCCATGGGGGCGTTAATCCCACTATTCGTTGGCAAAAGAGTAGCCCAAGAGTTGGCGGTGGGTGGTGATAACTAGTTGTCTTTCCTTTAGTCTTACACTGCTAAACTAGGGACGGCTAGCGCAGATAGCCCTCATGTAGCTTTGCACGAAATTCATAACAAACGAAACACAAAGGTCAGTGGCAACGGCCATCTAGGAAACAGTAAGCAACGTAATCAATATCATCTGGTAAAGAGTCCAACAGGTTATGGATTCCTCAAGATGAGGTTAGTCCTATCTCCTGTCCATACAATGATATCTCACTCAGTTAGAAAATGAAATGGATCTTCATGCTATCCCATACACACTAGTAAAGTCGTCGATGCATCATATATGGATTTCTGTGTGATCGGTCTGTTTAAGTGGATACTGGTAAACCGTTGTACTCATATGCTAGATTGATTATGGAAAGTGAGTAAGGAGCAGTGATGTGCTTTAGACATGACAGGCTTACAACAAAACCTGTTTCAATGGAAACTACACTTCAGGGTTCTTGTCAAAATGTACAATTGTCAGAGAAAACATGACTGTATATATCGCCATATAGATTATTATGACTCAGTGAAGCTCCAAAACCGTTTTCATATAATGTACTCGAACGTCATCTACGATACCGCGTGTTTTCAATACAAATGAGCCTCTGTAGAATAAGTTAAATGTTTAATACCGTACATACTAAATAAAGTAATTTTAAAATATCATTAGCAAGGCATTCTGTATCTTTTCAATTTTACAGTAATAAATAATAATAATTATCTAACAATGGACAATTTCAACATTAATTTTCAATAATCATTTAAATAATCTAATATTCAAAAAGGTGTTAAGGTTTAACTCATGAAAATGTGTAGTTCAATCAAAGTTTTAGTTCATGGAAGAGAATACACAAACGCATAATATCTTCAAAACATTCGTTCATTTACGTGAACAGTTATTTCTTCACCCAGCTTTCAACACCAGATTCAAGTTTTAATTCCTCTGAAACAATTGCTTTTGCAACAATATTTGATTGTTCTGGATATTGTTGATCACAATGAGAGATGGCGAGTATGGTTGGTTGATCAAATTTTTTGCTTTCAGGATTGTCCTTCTGCAAAGATGTACCAGGTGGTTCCGGTACCAAAGTGTCCTTCTGCACAGATGTACCAGGTGGTTCCGGTACCAAAGTGTCCTTCTGCAAATATGTACCAGGTAGTTCCGGTACCAAAGTGTCCTTCTGCAAAGATGTATCAGGTAGTTCCGGTACCAAAGTGTCCTTCTGCAAAGATGTATCAGGTAGTTCCGGTACCAAAGTGTCCTTCTGCAAAGATGTACCAGGTAATTTCGGTACCAAAGTGTCCTTCTGCAAAGATGTACCAGGTAGTTCCGGTACCAAAGTGTCCTTCTGCAAAGATGTATCAGGTAGTTCCGGTACCAAAGTGTCCTTCTGCAAAGATGTACCAGGTAATTTCGGTACCAAAGTGTCCTTCTGCACAGATGTACCAGGTGGTTCCGGTACCAAAGTGTCCTTCTGCAAAGATGTATCAGGTAGTTCCGGTACCAAAGTGTCCTTCTGCAAAGATGTACCAGGTGGTTCAGGTACCAAAGTGTCTTCTCGTAAGTGTTCGCTTGTAGATTCGGCCACTACAGAAGATTCAGTTATTTGTTCACTATTTGTTTTTGTTACTAAAGTAGTTTCAGGTACTGATTCAATTTGTGGACGTTCAATTAGTGTATCTTCATTCTGTATCTGGAATTTCAGCGAATCTAACTCATCTTTTTTTATTCCATCAGAAATTTCAATTTCTCCTGTAAACTGTTGGACGTCTTTTAAAATATCCGAATTGTTTAGAGTATTTTGACAATAAAGAAGTGTACTACGATCACCAATAACTTGAGCTGAAGTCCTCAACTCTTTCTTATCAGTTTCGTAAGCCGAAGGCCAAAATGTATCTTTTCGGCTGTAAGAAATACCTTTCATATTAGTTTCTTCTAACTGAATAAGAGTGTCCTCCTGTTGACTGTTTGAGTTAATAGTTGGCTTTGGTATTTCTAGAAAATTTAGATCTTTAGTAACATTAGTGTTTAACATTGGATTACTTTCATCTGATTGTGTCGTGCAAGAAGAATCAAGACAATCTTCAAAAAACAATCCCATTGATTCTTCAGGTTTTTTCGTGAGTCTCTGCGTTTCTGGTTTGCTTTGAACGTCTAATGAATCATCTAGTAAATTGATAAGGTCAGCTGGGATTTTTAAGAAAGCACTGTCCTTTTTCTCATCCAAAATCCAAGAATCCTTTGGTGCTGCTACTTCTTCATCAAAAGTTAAAAAGTCATTCTCGCTACTTTTTTCAGATATAAAAGACGACGTATTTCCTTGGAACAAAGACTCTTGACTTGGTTCAGCACAGGATGTCTGCGTTTTCTGAAACATTAACAAATCTTCTGGGTTTTGTAGAAGAACATCTGAATGTGACACATCTGTTATATTGAAAGGTTCTACGCAAGACTGTTGGTCAGATGTTCTAACATCTATTACTTGTGGTTGGTTCAGCCTTTGTTTAAAGGTGCTGCCATCAGAAAGGGACACATCAGCTTCTTCTTCTTGGGTATCTAATATAATAGGCGCTTTGGATATTTCTTTCTGAGAACTCATAGTACAATGATCCTCCAACAAAGTACATTCTTCTTGAAAAGTAAATGGGATTTCTGCCTTTTCTTGGGTCTTTTGTGAATATGCTTGAAAATTGATATTTTCTTCAAATTTCGGTGTACCAAAAACAGGCGCGGATCTTCTTCTGTTGTCTACTGAAAAACTTGATTGTTCTTGACGTTTCTGGCTAATTTCTCCTTTATTATCACCGTCTTTAGGATATATCAGTCTAAATGAGTCATCAAAATTTAATATTCTAATTGGTTCAGCTCTGAATAACCCTGCCACCGAACCATGATCTACATCTATATTTTCTTTCTTCAAACATTCAGAGTTTTTATTTTCCAGACTAATTAAAGGTTCTTGTGGGTTTTTTCTATGCTCACCTTCTTCCTGCAAATCTTTGTGTTGTTGAAGTTCTAAATAACCCTTTTCATTCTCATCTCCAACGCTTGTTTGGTTTATAGTTTTCGCTTCATTTTGCAGCTGACTATATGATCCATTTTCTCCTTGTTCTTCACCCTCTTTGGTACTCTCAGACTTAATATGGAGGTTGTCATGCTTTATTTCTCTACGAACTTGGTAACCACGAAACACAGCTTGAATTCTCGTAGCAGCAGCTTCTTTTTTTTCCTCAGGTTGATAAAACTCTTTCTTATCAGCCTCTATCTTTAATTGATTATCATATTCAGCTTGTTCTGGATTCTTCTTAATATTTCCTTCAAAACCAATTTGTTGACATTTTTCTGTTGACGGTTCTTCTTCATTGGCCTTCTCTAAATTCAATTCTTCATCTACACATTCTTTTTGATCCACGAAATTATTCTCTTCCGATTCTTGTACATTTTCTTCCGTAGATGTCCGTGTAATTTTTTGTAATTCATATTCTGTTGTATTTTCGTTATCCCGTTTCATCTGCGGATAAATCAAATATCCGTCTTCTGCTAAAGTAGCTGCGTAGTGTTTCCTAGTCATAAATCCGCGAAAAGCCGACTGTATTTTCACCGCCGCATTTTCTTCTATCGTAGTGTGCGTTGCACTAATATCAGTTGTTGTAGGATAGGTCGTTGACTGTGGTCCTTTTTTTGGAGCTTCCTGTTTTACTAAACAAGTTTCAGTTGTTGTAGGAGAGACCGTTGGTTGTGGTCCTTCTTTTGGAGCTTCCTGTTTTACTAAACAAGTTTCAGTTGTTGTAGGAGAGACCGTTGGTTGTGGTCCTTCTTTTGGAGCTTCCTGTTTTACAAAACCAGTTTCAATTGTTGTAGGAGAGACCGTTGGTTGTGGTCCTTCTTTTGGAGATTCCTGTTTTACAAAACTAGTTTTCGTTGTTATAGGAGAGATCATTGGCTGCGATACTTCTTTTGGAGCTTCCTGTTTTACTAAACTAGTTTCAGTTGTTGTTGGAGAAGTCGTTAGCTTTAGTGCTTCTACTGAAGCTTCCTGTTTTACAAAACAAGTTTCAGTTGTTGTAGGAGAGACCGTTGGTCGTGGTCCTTCTTTTGAAGCTTCCTGTTTTACAGAACTAGTTTCAATTGTGGTAGGAGAGATCATTGGCTGTGATACTTCTTTTGAAGCTTCCTGTTTTACTAAACTAGTTTCAGTTGTTGTTGGAGAAGTCGTTAGCTTTAGTGCTTCTTTTGAAGCTTCCTGTTTTACAAAACTAGTTTCAGTTGTTGTAGGAGAGACCGTTGGTTGTGGTCCTTCTTTTGGAGCTTCCTGTTTTACAAAACAAGTTTCAGTTGTTGTAGGAGAGACCGTTGGTTGTGGTCCTTCTTTTGGATCTTCCTGTTTTACAAAACTAGTTTTAGTTGTTATAGGAGAGATCATTGGCTGCGATACTTCTTTTGGAGCTTCCTGTTTTACTAAACTAGTTTCAGTTGTTGTTGGAGAAGTCGTTAGCTTTAGTGCTTCTTTTGAAGCTTCCTGTTTCACAAAACAAGTTTCAGTTGTTGTAGGAGAGACCGTTGGTTGTGGTACTTCTTTTGGAGCTTCCTGTTTTACAAAACTAGTTTTAGTTGTTATAGGAGAGATCATTGGCTGCGATACTTCTTTTGGAGCTTCCTGTTTTATAGAACTAGTTTCAGTTGTGGTAGGAGAGATCATTGGCTGTGATACGTTTTTTTTTACAAAACTCATTTCTTTTGTTGTAGGAGAGGTTGTTGGCTGTGTTACTTCTTTCATAGCGTCTTGTTTTATAAAACTAATTTCATTTGTTGTAGAAGAAGTCTTAAGATATGGTTCTTCTTTTGAGGCGTCCCCTTTCAAACTAATTCTGTTTGTTGTAGATGAGATTATTGGCTGCGGTACTTTCTTTAAAGTCTCCCGAGTTTCTATGGTTACAGTGGTCGAGGTAACAGTGGGCATCGTCTGTGGTTTATCTAAAGGCTGTATGATTTCATTCGGATTTTCTTTAGGTATAGGAGCTGAAGAAGTTGTATTGGTTTCTTTAGGCATTGGACTTGTCTCCTGTTGAAAGAAAACAGTTACATGTAAGGATCTTGAGTGAATAACAAACTAAGTTAAGAAGAACAAAACTTTATCGTTGTCAGGAAACTGACATTTTTCTTAAAAACTTTAAATACTCCGACGCTAAAAGTTTGCTCAACATGTACGAGAAGTTCTTCTTCAAAATGGCAGACATATGAGACATGCTGATATTGAGCGGCCCCGTTAGAACGCGTTGCTTCCATGAACTTAAAATGGGCTGTTCTTACACAATAGTCTAGTAGTACTCCACCTATAGCCCGCAGAAAGACTTAACATGGATCACGAAAAGAATAAACACATTCTATTAATAATGTGCATTAGTTCTATAGATGTGTACATAACATGAAAAATATATCAGTCCTGCCAATAACTTCAATGTTTGGCCTATTATCCAAAACGTTCGAGTACCTTCTTTAACTTGGAGACAAGGATCCTGCTTTGAGACAATGAAGTTTGTAAGACGGCTTGAATAGGTAACAAAACAAAAACCTTATTACAAGTTAACCAAGTTACAAATGTACAACTTTTTGATACGGTTTAGTCATCATCAGATATAAGTAGGTTACATAAAACAGGACTATGTATACAGTTTGGGACAAAGAGGTCACATGACCGAATATTGCTTAATAGTTTAATGCAGGTATGTTCGCACCCCCGGGATGTTGGTTTAGGTTAAGGTGGTTTTGTTCATTTGAGCACATCTATTTAGAATGTATAAAATAAATGTTGCAACGCGCTTTAGTCAATCGGGGAAACTTACAACGCTAAGATCCGGAGTTCGATTCCCCGCGCTGGACGTAGCAGATAGCCCAACGTGGATTTGCTCTGAAACAAACAAATACGCGCTTTATCAAATACACTTCGGGGATATTTTGAGGTCTACGTTATTAGATTTAAGATAAAGGAATAACTACTCGTGAAAGAGACCTGCTAAAAGTGAATTTACATATCAACTCAAACTGCCCAATCCCAAATTCAAATATCTTCCGTCGCCTATATTTGTAAGCCACAATGAACATAATGTTCTTATGGAATATCCTTCAAACGTGGAATTTCACCTTTCACACTATTGTACTCTTTTTCTCTTGCTCAAGAAAGCTATGAATATTTAACTTAACGTTTTGTTCTTTTAATCAGTTGTAGTTATTGGTTGCATCTGGAGCGTCATTTCAGAAAACTGGGGGGGAGGGAGGCAAAATGATAGCAAAATGAGAATAAAAAATAGGCAGTTGTTGCGTTATTGACATTCCTATGCAATACTGATAGTTTTCCTCAAATGGACTCCCCGTTGTTTACTTTCTTCCGTTTCCACCAAGCAAAACCGGATTTTGCTTCGTCTCTTGATATCCGAGTGTAATAAAACTGAATGTAATGTCCATGTAATCGCTAGACGATTGCAGTCGCGATAACCACTTAACATCTGTTAACTGTCAATCAAATAGATAAATGAATGCCTGCCGACGCGTTAAGTCTTGAGTAAGGCATTACATCCCATAATGCCACCATCAAATCCAGACTTTTCTAAACCAACATTCTTATTAATAAACTTTGTCTCCTGGAACAGTTGACGAACAGTTAACCTTCATTCATTATATAATTATCATTCTTCAACACCGTCAACAGTTAGTCTTAATTTACTACATACTTATCATTCTTCAACACTGTCAACAGTTAACCTTCATTTATTATATAATTATCATCCTTCAACACCGTCAACAGTTAACCTTCATTTATTATACAATTATCATCCTTCAACACTGTCAACAGTTAACCTTCATTTACTATATAATTATCATCATTCAACACTGTCAACAGTTAACCTTCATTTACTATAATAATTATATAATGAATAAAGGTTAACAATTGACAGTGTTGAAGGATGGTAATAATGTAGTAAATTAAGACTAACTGTTGACAGTGTTGAAGGATGATAATTATATAATAAATGAAGGTTAACTGTTGACGGTGTTGAAGGATGATAATCATATAATAAATGAAGGTTAACTGTTGACAGTGTTGAATGATGATAATTATATAATAAATGAAGGTTAACTGTTGACGGTGTTGAAAGATGATAATTATATAATAAATGAAGGTTAACTGTTGACAGTGTTGAAGGATGATAATTGTATAATAAATGAAGGTTAACTGTTGACAGTGTTGAAGGATGATAATTATATAGTAAATGAAGGTTAACTGTTGACGGTGTTGAAGGATGATAATTAATATCTAGCTATTGTTTCCATTTAATCGACAATTATAGCAAGGGGTAAAACCATTTTATTTCTTTCCACCCTTGGTTCTATATCTAAATACCTGCCTCGTCTTGTTTCTTCTTTACATCACATAGCATTTACAAGCTACTTTGGAAAAATAATGGTGTTCCAGAAGCTCTGCCTCTTTTACTTGTTTGTGGAGAAAACTTAAATAATCTCATATATGATTATATTGTATCCCTTTAAGTCTGGGAGACATACTAATGACATCACATATCACTTGACATAGAAGGTTGGTCTTTTGTTGTTGTTGAATTTATTTCGGTTTGTTTGTTTGCTGTTAAGCACGAAGTTTACCCATCACAGGTATCGAAACCCAGTTTTTACTGTTATAAGCTTTCAGACTTACTTTTGAACCACTGGGAGACATTTGCTTTCGGTAGTGTCTAAGAAAGCTGCAGAAACTGAAGAGCCTTTTGCTGGTTTGGTGTGTCTCAATGTTATATCAGTAGAAGGTTATGTACACAAAGTTTTAACTACAGGAAGTGATTGCTCCCATATGTTCCAAAGAACTTAAAGCGTACACCTTTCTCAAATTACAACATCGCCTGACGTATAAACCTATTTTAGTAACATACATGAACGATTACACTCGCCAGGTGACATTTAACAGGAGAAGCTGTCAGATAGAGAGTGAGAAACATAACCACAGTTACCTTTGACTCTGATGTTGCTGGACCTTTTAATTCTCCTGAAATATCATCTTCTTTCTTTTCTTCATTTTCACATGTTTGTTGGTCTGTACCTAAACAAAGCAAGCAGGTCACTTTTATAAAAATATTACAAATATTTATGACTATTTTTTATGAAAAGTGCATCACTAAAAAATCCGTTAACGTTCTTTTTAAAAATATTTACATAAACCGAAAATATCTCTTCAAACCTTCCGAACTGTGAGTCCGAAGGTTCATGGTTCGCGTTGCGTTACCAGAAAATTGTGTTCCGTACTTTGGGGCCGTTAAAGCAAAAAAAAAATATATATATATATATATGTCGGATAAGAATTTTTATCGTGTCGATATTCTATTACTCCTTAATTTTATAACGCCCTCTAGTCATTTAGTACAATCAAAAGTAAATCAATTACTGAATTACAAAATATAGTATTGAAACAGAAAATGTTGTATTTCCCTCTTAGTACTTATTATATAAAGAAATGTTTGGATAATTGTTTTTATTTGACTAATATACACATATTTAATAATTAAAAATCCACATACCTACGTTACTGTAAGCATAAACGAGTACAAAAAAAACAACTACACACAATCTCATGCTTTGGCTGGCACTAGCCAGTCTTCTTCAGGATAGTATAACACTATATTATCCTGATGATTTTTACATTTATCTGCATTCATGCTCAAAATAACGTAAATAACGAAGTTGTGTTTTTTATCCGAAACTTAACAATGTCCAAAATTACTAAAAGGGCATTAGTAACGGCACGCTAACATAGAATGAGAGGAACAAGAAACTGTTTTACTGTCAGACTATTACTGACTCATCAACAGAGAGAAAGCAATGTAGAAAGTGCTAAAAATAATTCCGCCACGGGTTACGTTGTCATAGGTACATGAAGGAATGTGTTTTCTTTTTCTGACTTTCAAGACGAGCGATAGAACCAATGTGAATCATACAATTATTAGTATAACTACTGAAGGAACTACTCTTATCAATATTATTACAAAGGTTATAACATGCCTACTAAATTTAATCTATGAAGAAGGGAAAATACCTGATGAACTTAAAATACTTAGAAGTCAGGAAATAAAAATATTTCAGTAATTATAGACCAATTTTACATGTAATTGAAAAAAATAATGTAAAGGTGTGTATACAACATAATGTTGGATTTTATTGTAAAAAAATAACATAATAAACAAATGTAAGTGTGGATTTATTAAAAATAAAAGTATCACATTACTGTTAGAAAACTTTTCAAATGATGTAAATTTACAGTTAGATAAAAATAAAAAGATTATTTATTGATTTAATAGAGCATTTGATACTGTTGCGTCAGGGGGTCACGTGACTATTGTCACGCCGTCTATTTTCTGGAAGTATCTTGTTCCTTCGTGAATGCCCTAGCATTTACTAGATATATGTTTTTCTGGTATATAAGTAGGACGCTCACAACGTGAAGGCAATGTGTGTGTAGGTAATGAGTAATTGAATTGCAGTCACAGGGTATTGTTGAAGTTAACGTTCGTTCGTTATAGTGTTTGAATATTGAATATTAAGTGTATCGTAAAGTTATATTCGGAAAGAATAAACCAATTTTATTAAGTAAGGACTTGTGTCGCTAAAGTTTCGTCGGAACGAAGTTACGGAAAGTTAATTAACAAACGGAGACGTAACAATACATTAAATCATAACATACTGCTGAGTATAACAAAAACTGAAGTAACAATGACAATAAAATATGGTGTTCCACAAGGTTCTATTTTAGGTCCACTACTGTTTAACTTGTATGTTAATGATACTGTAAATAGGGGTTTAAATTGTAAACTATATCAATATGCAGATGATACAGCTCTAATTGTAACTCGTGTTGATGTGGAAGTTAACAGATATTTCTTACAAATTTTTTCGATAAATTAAAGTTTTGGCTTAGTATAAATGAAATCTATATAAATACTGATAAAACAGAAACTATGATAATTCACTCAGAACATATAAATATTATCAACAAATGTTTTACAAATTCATTATCAAAAATAAATATAAACATTTATTTGTAGACAATAAGCAGCATTCTGATTATAAATGTACGTATATAGAAAATTTTAATACAGAATATTTTTACCAAATAATATAAAAAAATAGTTTATGCATCTTTATCAGAATCCGTTATAAGTTATGGAATGACAGTATATGGTACAACATTCACTTAAATATATCATGTTTAATTCATGAAATGTCATTTACTAGTCGTTACCACCCATGTTTACTTCATGAAGTGTCATTTACTAGTCGTTACCACCCATGTTTACTTCATGAAGGTGTCATTTACTAGTCGTTACCACCCATGTTTACTTCATGAGGTGTCATTTACTAGTCGTTACCACCCATGTTTACTTCATGAAATGTCATTTACTAGTCGTTACCACCCATGTTTCAATTTCATTATTTTTGAATCACAAGTCTAAGAACTTTCTAAAGATGAGTATTTTTTACTTTTGTTTTTTCAAAGAAAGCAAAATAATTTTAGCCCTAGAATTATCTAGATCTTTGTTTGTTCACTTGTTTTAGAATTTTCGCAAGAAACTACATAAAGGCTATTTGCGTCAGCCGTACCTAATTTTGAACTGGTTGACTTGAGGGATCACAGCTAGAAATCAGCACCTGCCGCCAACTCTTAGATTACTCTAATCAAACAGTAGGATAACGACTGTCATTCCATATAACGCACCGTGGTCCAAAAGTTCGGAGCAGGATTTTATAGTAGTGGAACGCAAACCACAGACTTTATAGCTCACAGTTCAGCATACTAACAACTAGACTACAACCCGCGAAGTATGGGATTTTACCCCTTCTCTTATGGTGTACCTACAGCTCCAAAGAGCGGACCTCGTTGTTGCAGGCACACGAATCGTGAATCCTCGGATTCCAAATCGGTGAAAGCTAAATACTATTTATCCACCGAATTGCTTGTAGGTTCATAAGTTTGTTGATTACCGAGCCACATATAAGTCACATAAAATAATTTAAATAATAATATTATGAATATTACATTTAGCCCTATTAATTGCTGCTGGTGTTTCCTGTGTATTTTTATGTTTGTGTTTGTTTGTTTATATGTAATTAAGCACAAAGTTACACAATGGGCTATCTGTGCTCTGCCCGCCACGGGTATCGAAACCCGAATTCTAGCGTTGTAAGTCCCCAGACATACCGCTGTATCACTGGGGGGGGGGCTTATGTTTGTGTTTGTTTGTAATTAAGCACAAAGCTACACAATGGGCTATCTGTGCTCTGCCCACCACGGGTATCGAAGCCCGAATTCTAGCTTTGTAAGTCCGCAGACATGCCGCTGTATCACTGGGGGCTTATGTTGGTGTCTTCTTTTTTTGAAATGACGATTTGAAGAAGATTTGTCCACTTAAATTTTAAAGTACGTTTTCTTGATTTCCAGTTCATTAATTGTCTTGTGTTATCAATCATAAAGCTACACAATGGGCTATCTCTATTATGCCTATCACGAGTATCGAACCCTGGTTTTTAGCACCGTAACCCTCTGACTTACCTCTGAGACACATGAGATCTAGAACGTAAATGAGAAGCGAAGTATTTCTTTCAATTGTTTGAATAAATTTAAAACTTTAACAATAAAGTGATTTTACTGTATACACTTTTTTAAACCTAGACAGTTGGAACTACCCCAGTGGCACAGCGGCAGGTCAGCGGACTTATAACACTGGGAACCAGCTTTCGATACCCGTGGTGGGCACAGTACAGATAATCCATTGTGTACCTTTGTGCTTAACTACAAACGGCACCAGTACAGATAACCCATTGTGTAGCTTTGTGCTTAACTACAAAGGGCACAGTACAGATAACCCATTGTGTAGCTTTGTGCTTAACTACAAAGGGCACAGTACAGATAACCCATTGTGTAGCTTTGTGCTTAACTACAAACAAATAAAGATGGTTCGATATCTCTTGTAATTTTAAAGTAATGTTTTTGTTGGTAACCTGTTGTTTTTCAAGGTTCTAAGTGAAATATTAGTAGCTCTGGCTTTACATCTTACCAGTAATTATGTCATAGTTCTGAATAATTTCAACTAGCATTTCTACTTTGCAGAATGATGCAATATTAAGAACTCGTGTTTCGTGTGTAATGTTCGATTTAATGGGTTCATTTCTATTCTCCTTATCCTCTTTGTTTCTACAAGTTATGTTGTCGTGACGATAAGTATTATGTGTAATGAGGTGTCAAAAAAACTTCCTGAAGGTGTAATGAGGTGTCAGGAAAACTTCCTGAAGGTGTAATGAGGTGTCAAGAAAACTCTCTTAAGATGTAATGAAGTTTCAGAAAACTCCCTGATGGTGTAATTAGGCGCCAGGAAAACTTCCTGAAAGTGCAATTAGGTGTTAGGAAAAACTCCCTGAAGGTGTAATTAGGCGTCAGGAAAACTTCGTGAAGGTGTAATTAGGTGTTAGAAAACTCCCTGGAGGTGTAATTAGGTGTCAGGAAATATACTAGAGATTGCAAAGATATTAATTACAAACGAATATTGGGCTTAGGATACTTAAGAATTCTAAGTTTTATGTATTTTTTATTACTGTTTACTAAAGTAGGAAAAACTACCGAATGTCAACACCTGTCGGAAAGTTAAAAACTTTATCATGTCTGAAAAAGTTTGCATTGATTGTTGATTGACTCTAAAAGATGTATCTTTCAAAATTTTAATAAAAGTACAATAAAGTGTTTCTGTTTCTCATCATCATTTTATAAAAGTACCATGAATAATTCTTCTTTATTGTTCCACTTTACTTGCCTAAATAGTTTGTTTGTTTTG